TGCTGCTATATAAAACCAGAAATATATAAATAAGACATTACATAAGGATTTGCATGAGTTGTTCAGTTAACATCACAGCATAGCTATGTCAGTCCATTGATGGCATATGGTCAGAAAACAGAGGTGCAAACCAATGAAGACTGGTCTGTAGAATGAGCTGTTTTCAGTGTTTACCTTGCAAAGCTAGAAAAAGATTTTTTTGTGTGTGTTTTAGTCTTACAAAATACTGAACATCCAAATGACACAAATGCTTCCTAGTTTCACAGACTTTATTAGCTCCAGAAAGATCTTAGTCTGCAGAGGACTGAGACCTTAAAATTGACCATCCTACCTCCTCAAAGACAGGGAAGCTGTTGGTAAATGTAAAGTGAACTCATACTGAGTTTCATAAAGCTATCTTGGTACTAGGTACTACTTCTGTCATGTAGCTGAGCACACTAGATACCTACTTCCTATTGAAATCCATTGGACTTCGGCAGCCTACTTAACCTAACATCTTGAGGTTCTCACTAGGTACCAATATCCACTTTTTAAGTACCTGGTATCCTTTAAGATCTGTACTTCGTTGAAGAATACTCAGTGTTCAGATCTTTAATCATCTTTGCTAAAACACTGTTTTAGCAATGATCTTAAAAGTAAGGGTTCTTATTTGATATTGGACTTTAGTCTGAAAACACTGTAAGCTTTATGTGACGAGTTTTGTTCTAATTCCTCTGCTTTTCTGGTTAGCACTGAAGGAAAATAGTTTATTCTCATAAGGAAGTAATTTCCTCTGAATTGAGTTCTTTTTTGACTCTCTGTGTTAAGAGTCAATCTTTCCAAGTGCCAGGCCTCTAAATAAAAGAGTTTTCTTAATGAAACAACCCATCTTGGTAAGCTAGGATCTGTCTTCCACACAGATTTGAAGAAAATCTCCCTTTTTAGGTCTGGAATGTATGCAGTAATAGAATTTCAGTGTCTGGAATGCTTGAGATTTACAAGCTAGCTTTCCTCAGCCAGGTATTGTGAAGTTATTTACAGAGCTCAAGTTTTAACACTTGGTAGTTTTAATACTATACGAATTTTTTTTTTCAATTTTTTATAATTAAATTCTGCAGTTGTGTTTTATGTAAACTATGAATTGAAATGTATGGTGTTAAAAACCTTAGAAATTTTGCTGTGTGAATAACATTAAAATTAATAGAAATGTAATGTAAAAAACCTCTTGCCACTCCTTGAATATTTTTCCATCTGAGTTTCTGCTATTAGGACTAGACAGTCCTAATCTTCAAAATTATTCTACTAACAGCACAGAGGAGTTAGCTTTTTCTGCTAATAAATTCACCTGCTCCCCTGTTTTAAGTAAATATATGATTTAAGTAACTGTTACCTTTTAAAACTCATCCAGTGATGTAGCAGTTGAATTTCTTTTTTTTGTTGTTGTTAAATGTTAGCTAAAAAAAAGTGTAATATTTCTTCTAAGCATGGATCTCAAATCTGATAATGACTGTTTCCGTAATTTGGGGAAAATCACATAACTTGTCACTTTCATTTTCTGCATATGTTAAATGTTATGAAATTATTATGGTTTTTAAAAAGTTAGTATTGGCAAGTTACATTGCACAGGCTTATGAAGTATTTAGACTACTCAGATACCAGTCATTGAGTGCAGTGAAATACTGTTGTTCTCATTACTTTATTGATTTAATGTTGACTTACATTTTGCTTCAGCTCATTCAAAAAGAATATACATGTTTTCTTCAAAAAGTAGTTTAAAATACAAACAAGTGTATTTTAATAATTACTCAATTGATTAATCATTTAGTAATCTGATTATTACAGATACTATACACAGTGATGTTTTAAAGTACTTGCAACAGAACTAAAATTGAGACCATATTGTACCCTATCATGTCTTTTAAAGGTCAATTGTCCAATTGTGATTTTTTTATTCTGTTATGGAATGTATTTACACCATTCTGCATACCTTTAATGTCATACAAGTTATTATAGACAAACTATGAGGCAAATGTGTAATTATCCCCCTAACATGGAAAATGTGTTCTGGGTAGCTATTCAAAGAGGTTGAACTGCACTCTAAATGGCTGTTTTAAGAAAAACAGCTTTCATGTGGAATCATAGACTCCTTTGGGTTGGAAGGGTGCTGCAGGTCTCTTGTCCAATCTGCTGCTCAAAGAAGGGCCCACGCTGGTTTAAGACTAATTTGCACTGGGCTTTGTCCAGTCAGGTCTTGAAAACCTCTGAGGATAGAGATTCTGCAGTCTTGTGTGAGATTTTCCAGATACAATTAACTCATTTATGTGTCACAGGGTGTTTATCAGCACTAATACAAAAGATAAATAAGTAAGTAGAACCTTGTTAATTACATTTAAATACCCTGCGTAATGGGGCAGTTTCTGGGAAATGTGGACGGTTATTGAAGGTGGCTAAATAGAATGGCTATTTAAACCACAGGAGCTTATATTTCAGTTCTAAACCACAGTCTATTTACACTTCATAGTATCTGTGGTAAACAAAGAAAAAAGCTAGATGAAAGCCAATGCATCTGAAGGAGAAGCAAAGAAATTACAATTGAGAGTGGCTTTTATAGCTCACTTTGTTTGGATTTGCTTGAACCTTTAGTCTTATAAAGGTTAGTAATGAGCCATATCTGGACAGGTATATCCGTTTCTTTTCATATGAACATATTTTCCTCCCACATGGTATATTGCACAATTGATGTTAAGATTGGATTGTGATGTAATTGATATGAAAGGCTTTTGTGAGGATTTCTGCCATCTATTTGAATAATGCCTGTTAAAATCTGATTCTTTTTTTTTATCCTGATCTTTTAATAGTCTGCTACTGTAGATCCTCACTATAAATTTTCTGATTATTATTCTCTGTTTTTAAATGGATTTTTTTTGGAGACAGCTAAAAAGAATATATATTATTTCAGAAGAAATTTCCTAAGTTAAAGATACATCGAAAATTGCTCAACTGGGTTGATCTGATCTTGCTTTTCTATTCACCTTTTCCATTGTGTACTGGAATAGAACAACCCAGGATACGTTGCAACCTTTAAGTCTGTCTGAATATTAAAATGCCAGAAAAAATGAAAGAGAAAGGCAAAATACTGATTTTTCTCAAATACAGCCCCTCCTCTGCTAAGTCAACACAAGGAAGGTATTGCAACATGTAAGGCCGGATGACTCGGCTACTGAAGGATTGTATCATTTGCACTCAGGTGTCTTTTTGTGAACCATTCACTCATAGGATGCATTTCAGATGTGACAGCTGAGCTGTAAAACATAAAGCAGCCTTGTCTTACCTGATAAGGATGGTAATATAGTGATCTATTACATAAAGCACATAGCAGTAAGGGCTAATTGACATTGAGGTTCAGGAATTGTTTGACTGTATTCATATATTCTTGAATTACGTAATCAAAGGATCTTTAGAAGAGCTTGTCTGTATCTGGATTTAATTTTAAGCTTTTTTTTGCATATATATCCATATATTAATGTGCATATTCACATTTCAATTCAAACTTCAGTAAAGCTTTTAAGCACAAACAATCTTAATGAGATTTTGTTCTTTTAATTCTGATTTCAAAGCTTCAACTAACCTAGTTTAGATCTAGAAACTTTTGCTAGTATGTTAATGTTGATCATGAATGTAAAGTTTGTTTCAGTGTTTATACATTCACAGAAAGTAGTGCAGACAGCAAAAAAGTTTCTTTGATAGTACAGTCAATTGTGTTCAATGAACAAGTAATAGATAAACTAGCAAAAGCACAGGGAAGGTTTACTGATATAGCTGCATTGACAAATTTTTCTGCATAGACCTCTTTATATCTAGATTTTTATGTTTGATATTAGCAAGTAAAAAATCATAAATTATTTCCAAATTATAGTATTTATTAAACAACTATTTTTTAAAATAAGAAATATTTGTGAAAGAGAATTTTCTGTGAATGCTATTATAAAGTAAGTGTCTCATAGGAAAAAATGGTTGACTCTGGACACTTTTGATGAAAAGTAAAGCATTTAAGATCATTAGTCATTAACTTGACTCCATCCCAGTCATCTAGCAGCTGTTTTAGTTGATTTTTTGGTGATCTTTATCTGGGCGCAAATATGACAATACCAAGAAAACTTGTA